AGGATGAGCTGCCGTATCTCCGCAGAGTGGAGAACTATGTCAGGCCGGTCTTCCGGATTAACTCAGGGTACCTTTCATGGCCCGGCAGATCAACCGCCAGTAATAAGTCCCTCGCAGAGTCTAGCATAGATGGAGCGAATGTGTTTTTGTTGATCTGACCTTTTTGAATCTGCCCAGCCTTGAGGAAGCGTATGAGGACGATGGTAGGACTGGCCCTAGCGTTGGCCTGCATCCTAGCCTGGTCAACAGCGGCTGCTAACTCTTTTAGCACCTTGTTGTGTCGCCAGGTATATCAGCCTTGGCCTAGGGCTTTCCTGCACGCGGACAGGACGTGCTCAAGTGTCTGCTTCGCTTTGCGCAGCGGGCAAGTCGGATCGTTAGTCGCAGACCACTTAACCATGTTAACACCGGACGGTAATACATCGTACGCCGAAAGAACGATATAGCTCAGTCGCAACGGGGTCATTCGCCAGATCTCACACCGTGTGTGTATTCTTGGCAATGCGCTCTCCAGGCTGACCTAATGGCCCTGCTGCTACTGCTGGGCTGCTTTCTGGACCCGAACCTCGTTTTCGTTGTCCCTCACTTGTTTTATTACCATGTCTCGGCGTTCTTTGGCTGAGGCTTTTGACCACCAATTGACCATCCTGTGACCTAGGCCTCGACGGTCGGTTTGAGTGTATCCCATTATCTCCCTCAATTTTAGTGCATTCTGGGCAGATTCTATCGCATCGAGGACTCTCCTTTTCTGACCAGTCTTGAGAGCGGGCTGAACAGCGGTGACATTTGGGTCCGAAGACTCGCGCAAGAGCATGGCGAGTCTTACTTTGCCAACTTTAAACTCTTCGGTTATCGATTTGAACGGGAGTACCAGCTTAGCCTGCTTACAATACAGAGCCACGTCAGTCAGACAAGGCTGTGCACCAATCCACTTTCTTAAGGCTGTGTTGATTTTTCTCTCCATGGTTTCCACTGCAGTCATCGTCACTTCGTAGACTAACAGCGGCCAGAGGAGTTTTGGAATCAACATGAATTGGAGACACCATACCTTGAACTTCCCAACCAGCCTGCAACGCTCGATCGTGAGCAGGCCTGTAGCCAGTGACTCGTGTATTCGCCGGACCTCCGCTCTATCAGATAACTTTGAATCGTAAACGCGACCGAGGCTCTTCACTGGTTCCTCTATAACCGTGGGGATCTTGTTCCTTGCCACCGTAAAACTGGTTGCCCTCACTCGACCCTTACGGATTGACAGACATCTCGACTTCTGCGGTTTGAAATGCATACCGCTCCATTGGACCACCGCGTCCAATCTTTCCAGGATCGTGCGGGCAGACTCCTCGCTGCTCGTTATAATAGTCGTGTCATCCATAAAGGCACGTAATGAAGGCATCCAGTGTTCCCCTATTTGAAGACCCAGTCCGTAATAAATAATATAGCAGATCGTGAAAACGTACTGCTGTTGAATCCCTTTGGATCAGTGCTGCTGAATCTATGTCTACCGATGCAGTTTATTTCCATTGTTCAGGCGCCGTTGAACCCCTTTGTACCGGAGCCTTTGATGCCTTCCGTAACCCAGTGCGATGTAGTGGACTACCTATTAAACTGGTACCTAACATGGGATGCGAGAGCTGGAAATCAACGAAAACTCTAGACACAAAATTAGACAGTTTTGAAAATAAATGCCTTAGAAGAATACTAAATTTCAAATGGTCAGATTTCCGAACCAATACACAAATAAGGTAAGAATCCAGGCAAGAGTATGTGTCTAATTTTATACGAAAACGCCGCTGGAACTATGTCGGCCACGCCCTTAGAATGGATAAATCAAGACTTCCTTACCAAGCCCTCATTTGGACACCACAGGGGCAAAGATCTCGTAGAAGACCAAGTGAAACCCTACGTAGAACTATCATCAGGGAAGGCTCACTCATGGGCCACTCAAACATTCAAGACCTACAACAGATTGCAACGAACCGCCATGCATGGAGAGTCATGACCTCTGCCCTATGTGCCGCACTCGACACAAGAGGAAAGACTAACTAACATGGGACCTGGACCTGGGTGCACGCTAAATTAATACATCTTTACTGACGTTGTCTTCAATACAATTAATTAAACTCCAAGTCTTAGTAAGGTGAAACGTTCAACAATAAAATTCTCAGAAATTATCTTAAGCGTTGACGCAATGAATAATTTAAAATTTCCGAATGTGTAAGAATTTTTAATGTTTCAAAAGTTGTGCTTCAACTTTCAATTAATGACGAATAAAGCATTTCATGTTTTGGATTTTTTTATTGAGTTACGTTTGCCTCCAAGTGTTTCAAACTTTTTTTAATAAATACAATTTATCACTACAGCAATTAACTTCTGTTTTAAATAATATGAAGGACTGCTTTAATATATTATGTCTGTGACGCTCTTATATATTTTTGCTATGTTCTCCTCAACTAGGGCAGAATATTCACGTTGAGTTACATACCTATATATGTTAGCAAATTATACAATTCATCCCGAGTTGCATCATTAATTTGAAATTAAAAAATAGCACTATTAGCACCATGAATACAGAGTGTTGACCAACACATTTAGTGAAAAGATAATATAGGCCTAACAATCAATGTTTAATGTGTTTATGCCACACAAAAAAATAATAACAATAATGTCAGCTCCAGCCTTATATATGTTTATATGGATAGCCCAACGAAATTAGAAGTTGTTTTTGGGAAGGGAGAAGCTCCCACGAGCACAATCCCTTATGTTGTCAATAAGTTAATGTGTGCGGATATCCAAGAAATATCACACACACACAGGACATGGTCAGTTACTGAAATATCTCTATATCTTCTTGGTAACGTTGACGATGTCTGGCCAAGGTTTGGGGTTGCGTGGTCTCGAGGTATGGTGTTTGCCTAGTGTGCTAGAGGTACCGGATTCCGGCCCCGATGCGGGTTTTTTTTTTTACGTGGACTTTTAGTAATTTTCCCTGGTCTCTGGGTAGTGAGATCGGACGCCTGTGTGTATTGTTGTGCACGTAAAATAAAATCCATTGGCAGTTAGACATTGAAAAGAGTAGCCTAACGGCGCTGCCGGGGCAAAATTTGCAATTAAAAATCTATCCAAAGTATTTCATGATCTTGCCCGGTGATACAGAGCCCGTGCACTGCACTGAGCTACTTCGGACTCAGATTTATGTTAGAAGTAGAGTGAAGCAATTATGGATTACTACCCGTGTGCCACCTTAAACCTTCAAACATCAAACCATATATATCCTATCTTTTAAATCAGAATCGACATTCTATTATTCAAAGTTTGGCCTTTGTTGTCGAAACATATCTGGCATTATATTTATAAAAATCCAAATAAAGCACTAAACGAATACGATACTGATAACATTAAAATAAGTATTGTAATCGTATAAGCCATTTTTCAGAACTCGAGTACCATGGTTCTGCCAACTTGATCTTGTCTGCTAGAAAACATTTGACTAAAAGCTGTTTACTTTACATGTCAAAGTTTGCTGTATTTTGTTTTCCCAACAATATATAAAGACAAATCCAGCTGTTTAGTTTAGAATTTAAGCTGCACTAACTTCTACACAATCAAGGAGTTGACTTATAAGGCTGTCTTTAACAGGGTAAGCAACCGATCCTGAATTTTCTACGTCTGTCCCGAATGTTTGTGGGACGCCAGAAACCAGTAATTAAAACCATTTTATGAAGAGGTCGTTTTCTAGAAATCTAACAAAGCCCAGATTTTCTCCGTAATTTCCAGCGTTTACGACTTGCCATTAACTTAGAACACTACACTGATTTCATTTTTTTCAGGTAAGTTTTACAGGAGAAAGTATTAAAAATAACCTACTAAGAATGTGCTGTACTGTAACTAACCTCCATTGGTAGGCCTATACTAAACATGCCCGGCTCTACTGGCAAATCCGGACGAAGAATAAACAGCCTTGGACGACTTAGTCAGCGTTCTCTCCCTTGGGCGCACTGCGAACAGTGATCGGAAAAGCCACAACGAAACAAAGAAGACAGTCACGTCGACATCAGGGCTGCCAATGCTTGGTTGTTTCCCCCAGATCTGGGTTTTTTTTTCGACGCTGCAGGACAATTCTGGGTGTGGTTTTTTTTGGGTGTGTTGTGTTTGTTGGTGTTTGCCGATTTGTATGCTTTAATGATCGATAAATTTGCGTGGTTAGGGGGGTAGGTGTTAGGGTTAGGGAGTAGGATTAGGATTAGGGTTAGCGGTAGGGTTAGGATTAGCGTTAGATTTGACACTTTTGACGCCGGAGTTCCCTATAATCGTGCACAGTCCCATACACACACACAAACAATCGAGGGCCTCTGGATGCTGGTCAAACGCACAATTCGCCAACGATTGGGGGCACCAGCCGCACGCTATTGGCGTCATATTTGGCAGAGTTTCAGTGGCGCCACTCCCACAAACATCATATTGTCGGCCAGTATTTCGAAATCCTACGTCAAAATTTTCACATCTAACCCTAACCCTACCCCTAACCCTACCCCTAACCCTACCCCTAACCCTACCCCTAACCCTAACACTACCCCTAACCCTACCCCTAACCCTAACCCTACCCCTAACCCTAACCCTAACCCTACCCCTAACTCTAATCCAACAACCGCATGATGATGACTACACAACCATTCACAATGCTTCACGCAACCGTACGCAACTGTGCACGCAACCATATGATGATGCCATGATGTCTCACGCAACCGTACGCAGCCCTACACGCAACCGCAGGATGATAGGTAAGTGTGTCGTTTGTTTCGTTTGTTTTCCGATCACTGTTCGGAGTGCGGCGACGGGAGATAACTCTGACTAAGTCGTCCAAGTCTGTTTATTCTTCGTCCGGATTTGCCAGTAGAGCCACATGCCCTAACTACTGTACTGCAGTACACATTCAATTTGTGCAGTTTGCATACATATTCTGTAACAAGGTATATCATTATTATTTGATAGGCATTCCCGCCATGTTTGCTATCAAGCCAAGATTTTTTGACGACTTGGACGTTGTCTTCTTTGATCACCTTCGACCAAGTATGTCTAGCACGACTCTGCCTGCTGCTAGCACATCAGCTTTACTAAGGAGGAGGAGGAACGAGTCCGAGGTAATTATTAGTAACTACACGCTTATTATATCTTTTTATATATCATGTTTTATTTACTGCAAGGGAATGTTTAGTTATTGATTATGTGACATATTCTGTACACATGCCATGCAAACTGTGTATCAAAAAGAAGCAGGACAACAAGCATGACTCAGTATCCTTGTCCAGGTTGATGGAGATGGTAGTGCAGTATGGAGTAGCCAGACATGAACATTTCACCAAGGGCATGAGGCATCCAGTTAATCATCACAAAACAGGTATGATCAATCATAGTGAATTAGGAATCAACAATGCAGCACTCGGGACACCCCTATAAGCACCCGTCCCTATCTTCAACAGCAAGAGAAGAGCTCCAATTCTGATGGCATCAGTAACTGCATGATTGTTTATCCGACTTGCATTTCCCTTGAGTGCTGAGCATCAGTTAGATTCCCTGGTAACTTCTTGCAGCGCCATTCTCCTCAGACAAAAATTTGATCTATACGTGCCTCCACACTGTTCATACGCTTTTAAAGGGCCATCACAAAGTCTAGTTTGTATTACTCTTGTGGAGTTACTGAGGAGACCTTCGGGGCACCTATGGATCTTTCTGAAGTGCTGTGGTGATAGTTTTCACTAGTCACAATTCTGTACAAATAAATTGTCATCATTAGCTTTGCTGATAAGCGTAGGCTGTCATATTTTGTCATCTCAAATGATAACCAGAATCACAGATCAGGTAAAGTTCTTGTCAGCCCATCCACATGGTTGAGCCATCCAGATGTTTATCTCCTTGCCTTCCTTTTGCCCTGTTTCCATCAATGATGCCAGTCGTCTGCAAGTTTTCCCATCCACTCTTTCTCATATGACATGCCTCAGATAATATTGACTGCATATGTCTTAAGTTCTCTAACCTGTTTATAGTGTTAATTTTCTTGAGACAGACTAATTTGTGTTTTACTCACTCAGTAATGTACTAGTCAAACAGTACTATTACCATCATTTTGCTTTAGCAGGTGAAGACTTCATGTTGTTGACTTCTGGGAGGCACAAATATTGGTCAGTGCTATGTAGAAAATGGCTGCTAATGGTGTGCTTTGGGCTACTCTTTTCAATTTCCAGCTGCCAGTGCGCAACAGTGCACACTGGCATCTGATCTTACTACCCACAGACCGGGGGAATTATTAGAAGTCCAATCTCGCGTGAAAAAATCCCAGCTCTTACCGGGAATTGAACCCGCAACCTCTAGCACTCGAGGTGGATACCTAGCCTCAAAACCTTGCAGCCCCCCTTGGAGCAAAGTGTAAATGGAATCAGTGTGTCCACATATTTGTAAGGCCAGCAACGTTTGCAGTTTGATTAACAGACAAAAATACTAAGGAGCCATGACAAAAATTGAAGACCCCCACATTTTTTAAGATCAGACATAAGGGAACATCATTTAAAAGAAACTCCTTATTCATACCTTGATACAGAGACACAAAAGGAGGAGACGGCTAATAAATTCGGAAGAGCACATGCCCAACTTGATGCACACACAAATGAATGCATTTTTAGAAATCTAATTAAACCTAAAGAGAAAATTCACACTCTTGCATACCATGTTAACAGCTGAGCTACAGGCATTTGATTGTTGAAGAAAGTGTGTTTAAACAAAAAGAAAACAAAATTTATATATAACTCAGACAGTCGACAACCTTTGTAAACTTTGAGGGATGCAGTATTTTTTCCCATCCATAGTGGTTTAAAAAAAAAAAATCTTTTACAACCAAGGAACTCATCAAAAATGTTAAAAAGTTAAAGTTGAGATGATCGACTTCATTGCAGTGGGTTTTATCCTATATGGCTCGGTCTCTCTCTCTCCGCAGAATTGCTAGCCACCTGCTGAAAGCATAGCACAGAGAATGAATTTTGTGGCTCTGGTGACAGTCCCCAGGAATCTTCGTAAAAATGTCATTTGCCAACTAAACAACACAGCCGTGAAACGAACCCACGACTTTCAGAGCGCGTGACAAATGGCTTGACCACTCTGCCATGGAGACTCATCTAGAAATTCATATAAAAATTTGAACTGAGAAAAGGACCAGTATTGTACACTTTGATAGACAGAAACATTTCTGTCAGTTGTATAGTATATTAGAAACACTAACATTAATATTAATCATCATGTCAGTACGTGACCATATCTTCATTTTGATTATTGGGGATCCATTTCAAATCCAGTCGATGTAAATAGCCGGGTCACGACCAGACGTACACATGTTCGCGAAGATAACCCAGCTCATATAACCCATACGTTTCAAAGTGATCCTCACTATTACTTCTTGAAGGAAACCCCATTAATTCTTCATTAACTTTAACTAACCAATTTTCTTGTTTTTTTTAATTTGAAAAAAAAATAGACTAACGCAAAACCAGAATTATATTTCCGGGCAAAAAATATACCGTTCACCGACCATGTTTCTATGGTAACAAAGCAACAGGATATCGTGAAATGCATCTAAATACACCTAAACGAACGTGATATGTGTTTTCATTGTATTTAAATGTGTCAGTTTGATCAGATTTAGGTAATGTATATTGCCATTTCACACCCAAGAATTAAGGTTCTTAGCAATCTATAAGAAAAGTCGAAGACGAGTTAGCTCATCCTTAGCAGTGAGGGCATAAAAATGGAAGACGAGTTAGTTCGTCCTTAGCAGTGAGGGCATAGAAAATGGAAGACGAGTTAGCTCACCCTTAGCAGTGAGGGCATAGAAAACGGAAGACGAGTTAGCTCGTCCTTAGCAGTGAGGGCATAGAAAATGGAAGACGAGTTAGCTCACCGTTAGCAGTGAGGGCATAGAAAACGGAAGACGAGTTAGCTCGTCCTTAGCAGTCTACTGGACAGACGAGTTATCTCGTCCATAACAGCGAAAGGGTTAATTTTCTCTTGAGTTAACCGAGCTGTATGTGGTCTGGCAATATCATGAAGGAGCAGCACTCCTCTAGTCAGCAGGTCTGGACATTTTCTTTGAACTGCATCATGAAGCATCGATAGAAATTACAGTTCAACAAATCAGCATTCACATTATCACTTTTTTGTTTTTTTTTAAAACTGGTTAAAATCGCTCCTTTAAAACCCCAGCCTTGTTTTGAAATATTTCACACAAAAAGATATTATTAATAATGTGACCTGTTGATTTCAAGACCGCTAGTAGATAGATCAGTCACGATGGATATTGGCATACTCTAAGACTAAATAACTACAGTAAGAGATAATTCAGCATAAAGAATGCTTGATTTAGGAATAAATATATAGCTGCTTTATGTAGGGACATATAATGTGAAACATTTGACATGTTTGCAGTCAGTATGCTGCATACATGATTAACATCTACAACTTTGCTTTCTTTATATTTCTGAGGACACAATATTGTATTACTACCCAGGCTGATGGATGTGGTAGTGCAACCTGGAGCTTCCATGGTGTCACCTGAAGCTGCCAGACATGAGTGAGCACTTTACAAATGGTATCAGTCATTTGATTGTTCACGACAGAACAGGCAGGAGCGGTCATTTTGGAGCTATTGCAGAAATTCAGTGCTTTTGTATCTATCTAGAATGCTGTTGTGATAGTCTTCAGTAGTCAGCGATCACCTTTTCTGAGGAAGATGAAGCATTTGTTTGTGGGTTTGCCTAGAGGACTTTTGAGTTGTTTCTTAAGACCAAGAAACTAGACCTTAATTTTGTTAGTTGAATTACATAATTGAGATCCAGGAAGTAGGCAGAGCTACCTTCACACACCTTACCTACCATCCCCCAAGAGTTTCCTGTATTTTATCGCCATACATGCATACTTACATACATATTTTGGTTTGCCTGCTTTTAGCCATTGTCATATTTTTTCTTTCAGGTTCATAATACTGATAGAGAATTTCGTATCCGGCTAGAACTTTATGAATATAAACCTGAAGAAATAAGAATAACAGCGGACAAAAAACATGTCACAGTTACAGCCAAACATGAAGAGAGGGAAGCTAGTCATGGCTTTGTGTCACGGAAGATCACTCGCAGATACAAGCTACCAGATGTAAGTAGTATGTTTATCTGTTCTATTTTTTTTTTTGGGGTAAGCATTCACCAGCTGTAAACTCGGGTGGAAAATTCTGGTTGTTTGTCCACTTCTAGACTGTGGTCTTGTTCAAGGGCATGGCTTGAGTTTTGCATGTACATACATTTTACAGATCGACTTGTTTGTATGCAGACTGTTGGATCCTCTCTCTCAGGCTGATGTACTTTGGCTCTTAATTAGTAGCCTCATATGACTTTTTAAGAGGGCAGTAGAATTCCCCCTCCCCCTCTAAATAGACGCACAGAATCCACACAGGCAGTTGTATGGTTGAATATTATAATTTAAACCCCCAAAAAATAATTTAAAAAAATGATGTTTCCAACAAACAAACAAATGTCTCAGGTAAGATGCAGTACCAACCCCAGCATTGTTTGGCTTTTTGTGATTTTTGCCGGGGAATTTTACGTTCACTAGTTAAGCCATTGCTTCTTGAGCAGCTGTTTACATAAAAAATTTGAATCATGAATCTCATTTCAGCATCTGCACTAGATAAGCATTGATTCCCATAAATTTGTCTCATCAATTCAGCTATCACAGCAGCATTTGTTACCATGTTTAAAACATAATTTAATGTTTGCTCTTTGCTCCATGCTGCATATGTAACAATGCAGCTGTTTCTAGTTGAACAAAATGGTGAGTTATTTGTCATCTGCTGACAAGGCATTTTATTTGTGGGAATGAATCATTGAGCAGATAAGTTACTATTGAGGAGACAGGTTCTAATCCATGGCAGATTCAAATTTATCGTTGAGCAAATAAATTTAATCTCATCCTGCACTCTGGCAGCTTAAGGTAATTCACTGTTACAGTATTATAAGGGGATTAGTAACGTAACCTGAAACATTTTGTGTATTGTTATTTTAACTCTTTCTGTCCCAAGGAAGGCATTATGCGTTCATAGGTTCCAAACTAAAAGCCCAGTGAACGCACTGTGTGCTGATTATACATATCTCTTTACCATCCCTTGGGTCTCTGATGTTTAACCACCTCTAGGACTCTAAGGGTAAATTGGGAGGAAAATTTAATTGTAATTATTTTGTTAAAAGGGTCATTTCTTTGTTTACAGAATGTTGACCCACAGTCTTTGAAGTCCAGTATGAATTCGCAGGGAGTTCTGTGTATTAGGGGCCAAAAGAAAGAGGAGACTTGTAGAGAAGTTCCAATCACGGTGGAGTACAAGAGCTCCAGAGATTGGTGAAGACAAGCTGTTTCGGATTTAATTTCTCAACGCTCTTGTTTTTCGCATCATTATTGTGGTGTTGTTTTTTTTTTTTAATTTGGTGGAAAGTTTTACTCAGCCATTTGTTGGAATCTTTTTTTTTTCTTTTGGCTGCAATAATTTTGGTTGCAGACTTTACACAAATCATTTAATGGTTCTTTCTGGGTTCTATAATTACTGTTATACAAATGGTAAGACAGCTTTATGTATGAGCTATTTTGCTGTATGTTGTTTATGACATGTTATTTAATGTTAATTAATTGGGAGTCTCTGTGGTGAAGTGGTCAAGACATTGACTTTGTGCTCTGATGATCATGGGATCATGGGTAACACTAACATGCTGCAAACAATAGTTTTGATATGGAAGACTCGGGCATGAAATTCAATTTCAGACAGTTTTAGAAGGCATAAAACCTGGGAGAAGATATACTGGTTGACTGATGTGAATGGATGAAGGCTGGGTATGAAATGTCTCAGGAGGCAGAGGCACTGCAGAAAGTCTTAATTTTTTTTTCTTTAGGGGTTATGATGAGAGTGATGTTCTGCCAGGAGTGGCTGGCCAAATAGTTAAGAACATGGGGCTTTCCTGCGGGAGACCTTGGTTTGAATCCTTGGTAAGGTAGGGATTTTTTATGATTGGGTAAAAAAAAGGTCCTAACCTGTACAGTCTGTGGCGACAGCATTAGATGTGTAGTCCTAAATCCTCAGACTCCCCTGTCTACACTGCAGAAGTGGTTAAAAACAGGTAGTAATGGAAGTAGGGCATATGTTCTACAAGGGACGTGCTACTTCAGGGTAATCTCTAGAGCTGTACCAAACATTCGCTTCAGGGCTGAATAGTGCACCTATTAACTATTCGAGATTCAGCCGAATACTTGGGTCGGGCCGAATACGATTAGTTGTTACCTTACACCCACTTCTGCATACATTGCATTAATGCTGACTACATAGAACGATTGGTTTTATTGAAAGCTAATGCTGCTTTCATGAATTAGCTAAGCTGTCAGTGACAAACTACAAGTTTAGTTACTTGTTATAATACTTAGGATACTTTCATTCCTAGTTATTAGTTACCAAAAACTGACTAAACGATGCAAAACATAAAATGTTTTTTAATGTAAACTATTCTGTATGAATACTAACTAGACAGGGAAAGAATATAAACTCCAGCCACATACAAGTCAATAATATGAAAATCAGATGAACGGAAACATGTAAGTACTTTGGTGCAAATTTCATCTGCTCCAACATGCTGAGAAAAGAAATGCAATCTAGAATACAATCTGGACATAAAGTATACTATGCCCTTCAACATCTGCTAAAGTCAAAGTGTCTGTCTCGCAACACCAAGATCAAACTATATAAAACGTTGATAAGACCAGTCATGTTATATATGGCTCTGAAACTTTAAACACAACTAAAAGAGATGAAGCCTTATTACAGGCTTTAGAAAACTGAGTCCTTCGACAAATCTTTGGACCCATCAAAGATGCAAACAGCGGGGAATGGAGAGTAAGAAGCAACAGTGAAATTCATAATCAGTTTAAGTGACCATTAATCACTGGTGAGAGCTAATACACTGAAAAGGTTGGGACATATTGAAAGAATATCAGATGACAGAGAAATAAAAACTGAATACACAAGGGAGAGGAATGGTCGTAGACCACGAGACAGACCCTGCATACAATTGGTGTCACCAAAGAGAAGGTCAACCAGAGAGATAAATGGAGGCAAGTGATATCTGCAGCAGTGAACCTCAAGGGCTCGGAATGCTGAAGAAGAAGGAAAAGACTATTCTGTACTACATTTTGTGAAGTAAAAGTTCAGTGTACATCTGACATTATGAATGTTTTTTTTCCCCCTCACATTTATTGTATACACTACTCGTATTTGGCCGAATAGTTGGTCCCGTTATTCATATTTGGCCGAATAGTGGTAACCCCCTATTCGATACAGCTCTAGTAATCTCAGACTTGTTTACCTAAGTATGGCAACACTGGAATGCGGCACACTTTATCTAGTCACTTCTTAGGTCAGTGGACAAAAAGGCGACTTTCAGCAGAGTACTGTGAGCTTGCAAATGAAAGCAAGTGCTAACGGACAAGTTTATGTAATACAATTGTGAAAAGGTATTGAATGAAACAGCAACCCCCCCCCCCCCCCCCCCCCCCCCCCCCCCCATCCCATCCCATTGCTGAAAAAATGTAGAGGTTAAAATTGATCTCTCTCTCTCTCTCTTTTTTTTCCTTGCCCCCTTCTCCTCCTCCTCCCCCTCCCCCTTTGTTTTCATTTCCTTGCAACACACGATGTTGTCATCTCTACTGTCTCACATTTACAACATGAGCTATGGCTTGTGTCTTTTTTTTTTTTTTTTAAACCTTTAAACGTTTCAGTAACACAGACATTTGATTTTTCTTTTCTAGTTTACATAAACAAGGGGCAGTAAGTGAAACTGTTTATGAGATATTAATTATGGTAACTTTTTTGTTAGAAGAACATATGACAAGAAGAAATGAAATTCAGAAATTAACCTTATGTGTGGAAAACATTGAACAAATAATTGAACAAACAAGTGAAGATTGTTTTCCAAGGCTACAGAATTGGGCACTCTGACCCTTTTAAAGGTCTGTACTTCTATGTCACTACTTCCATATGTTGTTTTACATACATGGTTGGACAATGAAGGCAGAGAAATATATCATAGACATGTACAGGTTAAAGTTCTGTACTTCTATGTCACTACTTGCATATGTTGTTTCACATACATGGTTGGACAGTGAAGGCAGAGACAGATATCATAGACATGTACAGGTTAAACCAGGTGTCCAAACATGAGACCTTTGCCTCATAGGGAGACATTTTGGTTGGGGGTTGGGGGGGGGGGGGGTGTGATTGTTAATGGGGACAATTTAAAAATGGAGCTGTCTAGAGTTCTAGTTACATTAGGGTACATAAGAATTTTTGAAAATTCTCAGACATATTTTAGAAAGTTTGGGAAATACTGGCTTAAACAGTTGGAGATCAGTTAATAATATAAGCATCACTGTGATGTAGCAGGTGCTTTACAGAATGTTGCTGTCATCACGGTCTGCCTGAAAGGAACTCAGTCTCTTGCCAGCTCTCTCAACTCATGTACTTTCATTTCATATCCAAGGAGTCACTTTTATCCTGTGCCCATGTTCATGCTGGTCGGCCCCTGCCTCTCCTTTCGGGTACCATGCTTTCTGCTGTTATTTTTTTTTTCAAATCCGCCATGGTGCTTGACCAAAATATTTCATCTTCCAAATAAGATACTGTTTATTACCCAATCTTCCTTGATGTTCAGATCTTTAATATTTGTCAGTATTTCCTCTCTTCTTTGATAAGCAGCACCAGTTTCATTAAAATACCAACTGATAGAGTAGGTTGCAGAGTCATGATGGCCGCCAATTCTGTTCTAGACTTGGCACCTCAAGAAAAAAATTACAACAACATAAATATATGGAAGAATATACAAATGTATTTGCATTTAAGATATGTGCTTTGAAGATATTCCTTTATGTTTTTATTATGCTGAGATATGCTACTTGCTAACACAGGACTGTTCCTGCTTTTGTTAACATCTAATGTTAGTTGATAAATAAAATGTTAAACTCATTGCTTGCATTTGTTGTATTGTCAATAATCCTACAGAAAGGTTTACAAACCCTTGAAAGTTGGACATCTGATGTGATGCAGTTTTTGAAAAACTCGACATTTTCCAGATTTTTTTCTCTTCTTTATTCATGCTGTATAGTGTGTAAAGGATCCTTTTTCACACATGGGCATATAGGGCTAGACCTGTTTGTTTACAGACCAATCAGCACTTGGTGGGTGACAGCTATAAGACCACTATGGTCACACGCGGAACATTTTCACATTTCGGAACTAATCAAATTCAAAAACTGTTTTCAATACTTTTTGGCAAAATTAAAATACTCAGAATTTTAAAACAATAAATGGTGGTCCAAAGGACGTTGTGTATGGAAGCTCGCTCTCCTATGAGATACGCCTAGCCAGATCAAAGGGAGACAGAATAAACAGGAAAGACCAAGAAAGAAGAAGGAAGACATGCACCAGTGACAACAGGACGAGCGGTTTGATTCGGATTGAAGCATTAAGCCCAGAAATGGCACAAACACTAAAATTCAGTCACGAAGGTGACGCAAATAACCGAGACCACAAATATAGGCGGAGACTGCTAGCAGCCTAGGCTAACTAGCAGCAGTCTGAACGTGGTCGAGCTTTTCTTTTTTTTTCTCTAAAGGACGTGGACGTGGACAGACTTGGTGGGTGATGTGGTCAACGTCAGGCCGGTCACCTTTATTTTCTAGGAAATTACGTGGTACCCGCTCAAGGCTGGTTTGACGGGAACCAAGGCGATTTTTTTTGGCGGGTGAAGGAGGGTGTGAGGAGTCTGTCTCTATCGGGACCTGAACCTGGGACCTTCAGATCTGAAGGTGAGTGTCTAGCTCTCTGCAACATGGTGGTCGCTTTCTTTAGGCGATGACTTGATGAAAGTGTTTTTGCACATTAAATATTTGCTAAAACTATGCACTTTAAATTGCCTGCTTCACAAAAACAATTTTAAGAAATGGTAACTGAATGTAAACTATGCTTTAGACTATGATGAAATCAGTAAATTGGTTTGACTAATCGGTAAAACTAATTTTGCGAATATACATTTGTCTTCATCAGCATAACATGTGATACCAAGTACTGCATCTGAACGTGCTTTCCCACAAGCATATAAACTCATTGTGCTTGGCAAATTTGTTCAGCCATTGTCTTTCAGGCCACTCTGTCAATACATCCAGCATTTTTTCTGTAATTTTTTTAAACCTCTGCCTCTATCACTCTTAGCCTTTCTAGTTTCCAAAATCATATGTAATACTTTTTTCCTCACAGTGTGGTCGTAGTATGTTGACTACGTTGTCCTGCTGTCATCTGTCTTTGTACAG